CTAATAAGACAATAATAATGTACAGCATCCTGTAATGTAAAGCAAATAGGTTCCTGTTGTGTCATTCTCTTTGCAAGTGAGAACATTTGCCCTTTTGGGCTCCCCACGCCCTTGCTGAATTTCCATGGTTAGTTTGTGTATCATTCTATGCAGTTGATGAGCCAAGTTATGCTTTGCTTTAATTGACTCTGAGTAATGTTTTTTTTTCATCTGGCTGCTAGTCTTTGGCCCAGATCTCCTCCTACAGGACAGCTTTTTTGTGAAAACTGTAATTTATTTACAGACTTCTTACACATGAGGGTCAGCCCACTTCTCTCAAGGCCCAGGTCTGCCATGCTGCCAGCTGGCTGTAACAGTGAGAGAGTGAGTGCTTCTCGATCAGTCTATTATACTCACATTAGCATCTCCTTTTAGTTTTTCTTACCCTTTGTCTCCAGTCTGTTCTGCCTTGTCCAAGATTAGAGTGTTATGTGTATATTTGAGGTAGGGGTGGCAGTACTTCTGGTCCTCATTTATCTGATTTTACTGTGCCCACTTTCTCCAGAGCTAGATTTATGGCAGGACTGGGTCCTTTCAAAATCTTACCTTGCACACAGTGGAGCCTCAATCTCGGTGTGTGTGTGCGCAAGACAGAGAGGCTGCTTGCCTGCTTCTGGCCTTTGAGGTGTTTTGTTTTGGTGTGCATGTGCGGAGAAGACAGAAAACCAAAACATGTCTGCCAGGGTGGTTCTTGTCATGTGATTTTGTTCATTTTTCTTCACACATGTAGGTTTCTTTTATCCAAAAACACTTGAAAAGTCGGGAATAACTTTTCATTTTCATGTCGGCTTTAATCAGCTGTGCAGCTGAAGACAGTTGTGCAGTCTGTCTTTCTTCAGTTAAGTAGAACTTTAAGAACTGAACCAATTTTTTAGTTGTCTGGAGAATTTATAGTTTAAATCCCCGCATTTGGACTTCTGCGGCCCTCATCATTCTGGCATCAATTCAGATTTTCTACAGTGTCTTCACTCTGGACAGTGCTGCAGCTGTGACTTTAACCAGCATGGACAGATGAATGCACATCATTTCTGATTTAAAGTTTATGCATGGTGGATCAGTCCTGTCTCCAAACTATTAGACCTTTTAAATCACATCCTCTGCTGTCATGTCTTCAATACTATTCTTATCTTTTCATCTTGCATTGCGTCACGTTGTAAAGTATAAGCATTATTGTTGGGATCCTTTTTTCTCTGTCTATACAAACATACTAATGCTCATCAGATATAGCTACTGAAGGTAAGATGAAATATGTAACAGCTGGGGAGCTCACACTTGCCGCTGTTGATGGCAGAGAGCCACCTCAAGCTTCAATCATCACAGCAGATTTATTATTCTGTGTTTTCACTGGTTGCCACGTGGGCTAAAGGCAGGAAGAGCTCCTGCAGTTGTGTAGAACTCATGCTCTCTTTTGTTAAAGGTGGCTCTAATTCATCTTTAGTTTTTGGAGTAGATGCAGTGAATCAACTTGTGAAAGCCCAAATGTGTTTCATGTGGACTAAGCTGTTCTAACTGCTAGACGGACCTTTTATACTGCAGCAAAACAAAAAATAAATTAAAACCTTAAGGAATGAAAGCACCAACTGTCCACTCAAAGAGAAATCAGAAGCATGAAAGGCTGCTTGAGAGTTTACATGCAAAACTGTTTTTCTGTTCAGTTTACTGTTAATTCACTGTTTGAAGCCACTGTCTGGTATCAGCCTACTTCTCTTTTACCACCCTGAATAAAAGTCATCTGGATGCTGAGGGTTGAGTCTTAAAACTGTAGCAAGTGCTGCTTCTTAAATCACGAGCTAGGGTGTAAGAATATACTTACATAGTATAACTGTTACAGTGTCAAATACAAGTTCATATGAAACCACTACCTTGACCAGTAAATGCCCTCAAATCCTAAATTGATCCTGATGGGTTATAAATGAACACCACTGACCTCTCCTGAAGCCAGACTGCACTGGAATGTCTCTGCAGTTGGCAGGTGAACACAGAACATTCACAGAGAGGTAGTGTAACTGTGTTAAGCTCAGGCTGAAGGATTGACACTGCAGCTACTGTGCATGACCCCCATGGGTCTGTAGGCCTTCAAGTTGAATCAACTTCTATGTTGAGTTCAAGATATGTCCCACTGTGGAGAAACTCATGGGAAACAGTATTTCACTATGATTATGTGTGTGTGTGTGTGTGTGTGTGTGTGCTGGAAGAAGGTGTTTTATGGTTCACATAAGCTGTCAGAGTCAGGGTGGCTCTGGCTTCACTGTGCTTATATGGGTGTAAGGAGGTATGAGGCCACATGCAAATGCCTGGGCAGGCACCTCTACATGATCTCTTCAGTGTCCACCCAGTGTTATTTTAATGCCTACTAGTGTAGTTATTAGTATATTGAGCTCAGCATGACATTTCCTGGAGGAACATTCAATGTTTTGCAGTTTCACTGTTAAGGTACAATGTACCCAGCTTTTAACCACATCTCATGGTCTCAGCAGATAGTTTGCTCATGTCTTCTTCAGGGATGGAGTTTGGTTAGTTGCATGTTTGCAGCACAGCTAAGAAAACTCTGCTGAGAAAGCCAACAAGAAGCAGCTGAAAGGTCTGGAAATAGTGAGTGCAGTACATGGACCTCAAGAGAATTACAGATTTCTCATTAAACAGTTAAACAGTAAGGGGACAGTTAATAAGCTTAATCACAATAATTACTACCAGCACTAAAACCGAAAAAAATCGAAATATGTTAATGAATTCTTTATTCATAAATGCACGTATGTAACTTTTTACTTAGCAAACAGTTGTTGACATAGTTTGTACACATAACTTTGAGAACGGATTTGTACCAGGACTGTTCCATTATATGGAAACAAAGTAGATTCTTCCAATCAAATGCCAGTTTATCAGGGGCTATGCTATATAATTGTTTACACTTTGGCTGTTTTATACAGTAGAAACACACCTGCCTGTTGTTATCATTACTGTTATTTTCCCCATGATACTGCTCTATGTTAGGCATATTTTCCACATCATTCATAATATGCGTTAATGTAATTGGTGTTTTTCTGCGTAATAAAAAAGGCATGATGGGCTGAATCACCCAGGCTTCTCTGACCACATTAGACAGCAGAGCCATATGGCTGTAAATACATCAGATCAGTGGTGACCTAACAGTTGGACTCATTTGAAAAAGAAACAATGGGTCTGCTGCCATTTTCACTCTATTTTTCTGTCTCTATCCATCTTCTTTATACCACCACTTCTTCTGTATTAATAACAGTCTGAGCACTTCAGACCAGAAGATTGCCAATCTAAATCCTTAGGACAGAGGTGAAGCTTGTTGTACATCTAGCAAACGTATATATCCCACAGCAACTACCATTAGAAGTGCTCACAAACAAGGTACTTAACCACCAATAACAGTGGAGCTGCGGTACCATTCTCTCACAGTGTTGCTGTAAATGGAAAAATGTCTATCAACTTTCCAAACTAAACAGTAAAATGCTGTGATACATACTCTTACTCACAGAGCCAGCTGCCATGCCAGCTTATACTGTATATAATGGAAGAATGTGTCATTTACTGGGTTCTAGCCAGAAGCTGTAGCAACTGCACTAATGAAGCCACATCTCACCATTTCAAGACAAGTGACATGTTTGGCTTTTTCAGCGCCACTGATATGAACCCAGATATTATGAAGGCAATACTCGACGGGTCTTTGAATTGTGCACACAAACCCACATGCTCACACATTTTGCTTACGAATGACATGCCTGCTGTCAAAATGTGATTGATGCACATTCGCTACACTCCCCTACTCCTTCTTTTGGTTTCAATTGCTGCCATAGTGACATGTTTTAGTAATTGTGTCAAGTCAGCCCAGTGAATAGTGGAACAGAACACCATACATGTGACCACAAAGTTCTCATTAGCCAACTACATTGAAAGCATTATCTCCTCTCTACAACTTTGGTCGGGGTATGGATGAAACAAGTCAGGCTACATTCTAATGCAACACTGTGACTTTAGATTCCTGAGAGGAGAGCCTTTTTTCTCCTTTAGGCTCCCTAAAGACACACGATTAGTCAGATCTGGAGGAAAGAAACAATGGATGTATGTGAAAATGAGGACAACTCATCAGGTTTTCAGGGAGTTCTTTATTTGTTTTGCAAAGTGATAACTTGTCATTTCTCCAAAGCCACCAGCAGGTTGACACTTATGAACTATCTCCACACAATGGCATTTCTATCAGCCAACTATACTTAAGGGCTATTTAAATGTTAACTTGCTAACACACCAAGCTAAGATCGTTAGCATGGTAAACATCAGCATATTCCTCCTAGTCTATAGCCATGCTGGTGTTAGTCTTAGTAGTACAGCCTCACAGTGCTGCTAGCACTGATTTGTCCCGCTTGAAGCCACTTAACTTGAGAATATTAGAGAGAGGTCTGCCCAAGGAGCAGCTGAACATATATAGTACTGTAATCACTGAGAGAACATCACATTTCATAAATGATCAGATGAGTCTCCAAAAGTCTTGTGAAACCACTGGCGATCGAGCTCCGACATTTCCCCTCTCCAGTGTCTCTTTTCTTTCCGAGTCTGGTTTAGTAATGATGAGACCTTTCCAAGTACTGTAGGTGAAACTTCCAGCTGCCACGAGTCTGCCTCAGATCTACTGTAACTGTCATGCTGAGACAGACAAGCCCAACATATTAGGTGTACAGTGTTATACAGTACAGGCTGGATATGCCACAGTGCTCATGCTGGCTCATTCTCAGTCACAGTACATTCCACTACAGCTGACAGATGAGCAACAATGATGTGGCTTTTTGAATGTTTGGTATAAATTACCATTTAAGAACAATGCTCACTGCCATCCTTCAGGCTTTGATGATTAGTAGCAGTAGTAATATGATCGTCTCTATGTCTTTTCCCATCTTTCTGTCTCTCTTCTCTATCTGTCTTTCTCTCTCTCTCTCTAGGTTGGTGGTTTGTCAGCACAGCAGAGGAGCAGGGCTGGGTGCCGGCCACATACCTGGACTCCCAGAGTGGAACCAGAGATGATCTGGATTTGGGCACTTCCAGGACTGGAGAAGGTTAGCACAGACACACACACAAACACAACATTATTAAATTCATAAAACAGAGAAAGACATAAATGTCATTCTGACTATCTGCTTATTTGAGAAATGTTCGAGTAAACCAAGCCATGATTTCACAGTAGTGGGTTTTGAAGGGTGTTTTTTTTCTGTGCTCACATCTCAATCTAAACATAGCAAACAGAAGTGCACACATACTGTACACCAACACTCTTCCAGTCATACATTAGGAGCCTTGAAGGCCACAGTTGCTGTACCATGGTGAAATGGTACCACACCACAGCCAAAGGGTTTGCAATAGTTTGGCACCACAAAAAATTCTTTTCAACTCCACCGGGAGGCTGCAACTCTTGCAGGAGCCTTGTTTTGTTCTGACCCTTTCCTCCCCAAAGTTTAGTCTGACTGCTGGGATGGAGCATTTCATCACTGTGTCATAAGCCTTTTCTTCTTTCAACCAAAAGAATCCAATAGAGATAAATAAAGTGCAAACACACAACAATGCACACATGCATGCTTAAAAATGCCTGCAAATCTCTTCTGTGGACACATGCACCGATTTTATTTGCAGTACTTTGTGGTAATGAAAAAAAGATGGTGCAATAGTTTATTATGCTGCAGAGTGCCACTGGATTATCCAGGAAACATTTTCTGTTTCTCATTAAGGCGTGCTAGTCATTCAACAAGCTGTGCACACACACACACACACACACACGACACACTCTGCTACAATGACGACAGTGTGACAGTTATTTAATCTTCTCATTCACTGTTTGGATTTTTTTTCACATTCACACAATTAATAGATGATGGCAGTGCCGGTGAAATCACTTACAACTCAGCTATACCTTGCCCCTCCTCCCACTGTTACAGAGGGTTCTCAACAGCCCACAGCTCCTGACCAGTCACCACCACCTGCCCCCTCTGCCTCACGGTGGACCAGGTTAGGAGGGAGTTAAGAAGCATTAAGGCCAGGAAGGCCACAGGCCCTGACCACATCAGCCCCAGGGTCCTCAGGGAGTGTGCAGACCAGCTCAGTGAAGTGGTCCTATACATGTTTAATCTGAGTCTTAGCCTGGAGAGAGTCGCGGTTCTGTGGAAGACATCCTGTGTTGTCCCGGTTCCTAGAATAAGGGGGAATACAGGGGTATTGTTACTGACTTTGTGGACTGGTGTCAGAAAAATCACCTGATCCTGAACACCAGCAAGACAAAAGAGATGGGGATTGACCCCTGGCGGAAATCACCACCACTCATGCCGGTGAGCTTGCAGGGCTCAGATATTGAGGTTGTGGACACCTTTAAATACCTGGGTGTCCACCTCAACAATAAACTGGATTGGAGCAACAACACAGATGAAGAGACTGAGATCCTTTGGTGTGCACGGGGCACTCCTTCAGACATTTTATGATTCTGTGGTGGCATCTACAGTTTTTTACGCTGTTGTGAGTTGGGCAGGAGGAAGTACGGACAGGGACAGAAAGAGACTTAACAGGCTGGTTAAGAGAGCTGATTCTGTCCTGGGCTGCCCCTGGATTCCATCGAGGAGGTGGTGGCAGAAGGATGCTGGCGAAACTAAAACCCATCATGCATAACCCCTCCCATCCCCTGCACAACACAGTGGTGGCTCTGAACAGTTCTTTTAGCACGAGACCGTTACATCCCCAGTGTAAGAAGGAACGTTACCATAGGTCATTCCTCCCCACAGCTATCAGACTGTACAACACATCACTGCAGTGATAAGATAGGTGAAATTATGAGGGACTATGTAATAATCTACTGATGTGCAATACTCAAATCCTGGGGGTAGAAATGCATGGTTAATATGCACATATGTAATATCCTGTTCCTGATTTTTCTCAAGTACATTATATTGTCTTGTTTTTAGGTATTTTTGAGTATTTCTTCAGAGATCCTTATGGCGGTAATACAGGTATTTTCCCCATTGTGGGATTAATTAACGGGAGTAATATTCTTGTCCTTGATTTCTTGATTCCTCTCAAATACCATATTTCCTCTTGTTCTTAGGTATTTTTGATTTGTTTCTCAAGGATTAATTGTGGGAGGATTATCTTGTTCCTGATTGTATCTCAAATACTATATTTTGTCTGATTTTTAGGTACTTGAAATTTGTGTCTATGTGTGTGGTGTTTGTTGTTACTTGCTCTCTATTGCTGCTGTCACACACAAAATTCCCCATTGTGGGATCAATAAAGTCCTACCTTACCTTACCTTACCTTACCATAATGCAGACATAGTAACTTCTCCAGCCATACAACAATTCTCTCTACAGACAATTGACAACACATTAACTGTCAGGCAACATATGTGGGGTTTTTTTAGATTTACAGTTACGTCCCATAGAGTAGTGGAAACTCCAAGGTCGATAAAGCCAACTGGTGGTCACTGCGTCTTCCCCTACATGGCCACATACAGTCCCAAAGTAGTGAAATTAATCCCAACTGGTAGCACAGCACTGACAATAACATCATCGATTATTAATCTGCTTGTTAACCAGAAACACATCACATGCGGCAGACACACTGGCCTCAAGCAGTCAAAACAAACAGGTACTCTGCTTTGGGGGGAATCCAGCCTTGATGAGCTGATTATGAAGGAAATTTCACTGGGTTAGAACAGCGAGTCCCTGTACGTGAACACTCCCGGACATGCAGTAACCTCAGGCCCTGTATTTTCCTCCACATCCTCTGGTCACAGGAGGGAAAATATATCCACAAAACTGAGTGCAGTCATAAATCACACTTTTAATATGGCATTGGTGGATGTCAGGCACGCTCACATTAACGCAAAACTGCCTAGAGATTATGCCCATTCAAGGAAATCCTTAAACTATCACATAAGACTTAATTTTGTTAGAAAAAAGTCTTGCGAGCAAGAGTTTGCAAGATGTGTATAAACCGAGTTGCTTCTGCATAGAAGTACAACAAAGGTACACCTCGTTTTTTGAGTTTTCAGTTACGTTTAAGATGATAATTCACAGTTGTAACATTGTAGATAAATCAGAAAACAAGGAAAAGCATGACATGAGCTATTTAAGGTCCGATCTATTTAGAAAATTGCAGAATGAGGAGAAAAGGACAACAAAACCTACCAGGACAACCACATAAAGATGAGATTTGTACTTTATTAGAAGTGTTTTCAAACAACGTTGTCTACTTTTACAAGAGAAAAGACTTTAACGGTTGCAACGATGTGGCTGGTGTTGCCTAATGTTATGTGAGTCCAGTTTGTTTACCCATCTCTGTTAAGGTGCAATGCTCAGCCATTTATTGACTGTTTCTGTGACATGCATCCATCTGAACAGGACTCGGAAGCTAACAAAAATCCTTAGTTGGGTACAGCCCTTCTCTCTGCCATACTAGACACAGGGACATCTCCCAGACATACTCTAACTGCACTGCCATAATACTACCCTTTGGTTGAGGAAATGTTTTTGAAAATTTAAGCTTAAACTGTCATAAATGTGAATAATGGTACGTGTGTATTTTTGATGCAATTTTAAAATGTGAATTTTAAAATTTACATCTACTTAGCATAAACAGCACTTGCCCTTAAAGGGGAACTCCACCGATTTTACACATCAGCCTGTGTTTACAGGTGAACACTACTGCATATTTTTAAAAAAGCTGTATAAAGCCTTTTGTGGCTCCAGAGTGAACTGTGTGAAATCTGAGACTGAGTCACTCAAGTGACAGAGTCAGTGTTGGTGGGGGCTGAAGGCTACATTTAAAAATGCAAACAATTTATAGTGAAGCTCAAAATAACCAAGCTGACCAGATCTCTGTAGCCTGTTTTTTATCCTAGCTTGAGGCTTGGCGGCTCCAAGCTGCATTAGCCGCTACTAGCATAACCCACATGAAATCTCAAACCAAAATGTCAGCGGTAGAGTTGCACTGTGGGTAATGTAAGTGCCAGGTTTTGAGAGGAAGAATGCATGGGTAAAAAAGTTATGGTTCTGCTGCATCAGTTTTTATCTGATGTTTCAGTTGTCCAGTGTGAGTCTGACAGTGTTACACCAGTGCAAAGCTACATCAGATATAATTGCTGAGATCTTGGAACATACCAGCATTGCTACCAAGATGTCTAATGAGGCAAGAAACACAAGCAGTCAAAGGAAAGATCCTTTAAGCTTGGCTTGGTCTGGCAGCTATGTATGTTAATAGAGATCCTCTCATCACATTTGGGTTTTTCACTATCTTCCTAACCAGTGCACTCAAGTGAATTTATCCGAGAAGTGCCGGAACCCACAACTTCACACAAGTACACACACACTCTTTCCGTCCTCTGTCTATGGTCCCTATTTTCCTATTAGGCCTGGTGTCTTTGTATTTGCACACATCGTCACTTCTTATTTCTGATCTCCCCCTTCCTGCTTTCTGTCGTCTCTTACATCTCATTATCTCTGCGTGGTCTGTAACCTAATTCCACTGACAGCCCAACTCACTGGAGAGGAACCCGACAGGTGTAGTCTGGCCCTGCTGAAATTACCTCGAAATAACATTTTCCTTTGTGCCTTCCCCTAGCTGATATTTCAATTAGGAGGTCAACAGGAGTGATGCTCAGTGGGATGGAGGGAAGGCAGGAAGGAATCAAATGGGAGTGGAAATGACAAGTAGCAGAAGCACACAAAAGGAGAGGGCGGATGTCAAGTAGGAGTAAAGATGGAAAGATACAAGAGAGGAGATGGAGAAAGTGAGCAGCAGATGGAATTAGATTACCACAGACAGTGATGTTTCCATCAACCCTTCCCCTATTAATGTGTTTGCTCTTCATGTGGCCTCAGATGATGCACTAAAATAAGAAGATGACTCATGTTATCACTGCTGTTTTATCCCACAGGCTTTGAACTAACCAATTTTGTTTCTAGATACTAAAAGTCTTGAAACAAGTTGATTTTTATTAAAAATAGGTTGAAATATTTTTACTGTAAAGGCAGATTTATTTAAATTTTATTAGTTTTTTTGGACTCAATAGATGGAA